TACATAGTGTTTTGAATGTCATTATTTGATGCATGTGTTTGGTATCTCGTAACCTCATATACCTAATGATTATGATAATTGGAGTTAACTATACTTCTCTAAGAGCAACCATCATTTTTAACTCGTTTGTTGCTATCAAAAGCAATATCAGGTTATGTGAACCTATCTTTATATTGAATAACTGAATAACAATAAGATTTCAGCTACAGAATCACCTGTGCCAACACCATAATGAGAATTGAAAAGCTCCATGTTATCACGTCTTTGACTCAAGTTATAAACTCATGCAACTCATGTACCACTAATATAAAACAAATGATGCATTTTATATTTCAGAGGTACCTCACAACGAAGAATCAACTTCGAAGGAATGCTACCCAATAATAAGATGTAGATACCACACACCAACCAGTAAGCAGTCACTCCGAGAAGTTTCATATCGTTGAAGAACAGGGAGGTTAAGAAGATATCATTGTGTCATTCATACAATTGTTTTCTTGAAATCTGGTATGTGTCTGATTTATGATGAGAGGGTTATGTTGTGAAATAAAGAGGTACTAGAACTTTCAGATCCATTGAACCCCTAAAACCCCTACCCCTTCCCTACCTCGATAGTATGTAACCAATGTCGTTAATTGGCCATTACAGTCCCATCATTTATGTTTATGTTGGGCTTGCTATGGAAAACTCAATGTGTCGATTATGTTGTACTGGCCTTTTGCCGGGGAACTGAATATGATTGCTGGGTACCCAGCACTGCGGGACCAGCTGCCGGCCGCAGTGTACTGATATATAGAGTCCCGCATATGGGACCATTTACTGGGCCGCTGATGTCAGGTATGGGAAAAATATACTAGGCCATTGATGCCCCATATCAAGATGTTTGCTGGGTAGTCAAATCTATAAAAATCAAATCAACCCAAAACAATACCATATTTACTAGAGCAGATAAAGGGCACAGTCATTGCTATTGACAGGAATGATTATGTTCAAAAAACCCTTGATTTTTTGAATTTAGGGGAATTTAACGATAAAAAACTTTTAAAAAAATTCTAAATCTATTTTTAAGGAAGCCGAGAAATTCAGATTAACTATCATGCGAATCACCAACCTCCAAAACTGTATTCTCTCATTAAATTACACAAACAAAATTATCCTATTCGCCCAGTAGTTTCATTTGTCACAGCTCCTTCAGTTAAACTATCAGAAAAATTAATAACGTTGATAAAAAACTATTGTAATTTTCAATCAAAATTCAGTTTGAGAAATTCCTATGATTTGATAACTAAAATTCAAAATTATACTCTACCTGACAACACAAAATTCATTTCATTTGATGTACAAAACCTTATTCCAAGTATACCTCCCGAAGATACCATATACTTTTAGTTGAGCAGTTATTAGATAAAAACCATGTTGATCCGATTATCAAACAAGAGATCTTAGACCCTGTCGATATGTCTCAAACAAAATTACTTTCAGTTTGACAACAAATAAATATATTCCGCGTCAAAAGGGTTGATTATGGGAAATCCACTGAGCCCTTTACTTGCTGAAATCTTCATGGACAACTTGGCGAGCGAATAATACATAAACATTCATTAATAAAACAATGTTTGTATTGGTATAGATATACGTATAGATGACGTTTATAGTATGCTTTAAAGGAACCAATAGACAATTAGACACTTTCCATCAATATATAAATACTATTCACCCAAACATTAAATTCACAATAGCAATAGAGACTGAAAATTCAATCAATTTCTTAGATTTGACAATAAGTAAAATTAACGATAAACACGATTTTTCAATTTTCCATAAACCTTCCCACACTGATATCACTATTCATAATAATTCAACACACCCTTATCAACATAAAATTGCAGCATATAATAGTATGATGCACAGGCTAGTGAATGTCCCTCTTTCGGAAGTAAATTTCAATAAAGAACTCAATATCATAAAACAGATTGCAGTCAACAACGGATACAACGTTAATTTGATAGACAGTATATTCTTTCTAAAAAACTTCATCATAAAGCTATTCAAGAAGTTTATCCTACCATCAAGAATAATAATCAAAATTATAGAACTTTAACCTATTTCGGATCATCAACTGAGAAATTAGCTTCATTTCTACATAAACAGGACTTAAAAGTGGCATATAGAACAAATAACACGTTGGGACGGTTTATCAAGAATAATAAAGACAAAACTTCTAAATTCGAAAAATCAGGGGTATACAAACTCAAATGTGGATCTTGTCCTAAGGTATACAGGGTGTTTCATAATTGAATGTCAATATTTAGGGAGGCGATTCTTGGGCCTATTCTATGAGGAAAGTTTCATATGAACGTATGACCTAAACGTCCTAACTTTTGAGATACAGGGTGGCGAAGTTCCCAAAAATTAATAGTTTTTTATTAATATAGGTAATACCACTTTAGATATTCTAATGGAATTTGGCATACATGTACTATGTATCAAGAGGCATCAGTTAGTGTATCACTTTTATTTTGGTTGCCACCAGTGGCGTTCGTATGGAATTCTCTATTTTGGCAGTTATTGATGGTACGCCACTGATTAATCTCGAAATTGAAATCATTCTTGAGATTCCCAAACATTTCTGAGCAAATTTGAGCACTACAATTTTTTCAATCTGATGCACGATTTTCGCTAAAAAAAATAAAAAGCTTTTCACTACATGATTATAGCAATATATCGTGAATATGACAATATCAGAGAAATAGATTTCATTTCTTATAGATCAAATTTCAGAAATACAATTCATAGTTTATGAACTTCGTATTCGTATATGGTATTTTGGAATTATAACTTCTCATTGTAGTAGGCTATATTAATTTTTGAGAGCTGTATACCACCCTGTATCTCAAATGTTAGGACGTTTAGGTCATACTTTCATATAAAACTTTCTTCTTAGAATGGGCCCAAGAATCGTCTTCTCGAATATTGACATTCAATTATGAAACACCCTGTATATATATACAGGGTGTTATTTAAGTACGTGGCCAAACTTGAAGGGGTGATTCTTTGAGTGATTCTAAGACGAAAAGTTCATATAAACATAGGTCCGGTAATGCTTCGTTTTCAAGATACAGGGTGTCAAAATTTTTAAAAGAAATCGTTTTTTTCGTAAATATCTCAATAACCCTCCAACCGATTTTATTGAAATTTGGCAGTGTTATTCAAGGTCGTAAAGGGCTTATTTAACCCTAACTATATCAAAATTATCATGTCCAGTGGCGTCCCGGAAGGCACTGTAACCAATATTTCTGACAGAAAAAATGTGCGCCACTGATTTTTTTGCAATTTTTGTATTTGTTTCACATTGAGCAACTAAAACTACAACTTTTTTATATCCAGAATTTTTTTCGTATCTTGCTTTGTTTTTGAGAAAAAACATAAAAATCACTTCATTGCACATCCCTGTGACGAGCCGAAGCCAAGAGCCGAAGGCAAGTGCTGCAATTCATACATACATATTTTTTGTTTTTTCATTGCATTAATTTTGATAGAAAATTCCAAGACTAGGATAGAGTATTAATATGAAAAAATATTAGTAAGACCCCAGTTTTTGATGGTTTAGTAGTTGGAATGTTTTATTGTGTTGTCACAGGGATGTGCAATGAAGTGATTTTTATGTTTTTTCTCAAAAACAAACCAAGATAGGAAAAAAATTCTAGATATGAAAAAGTTGTAATTTTAGTTGCTCAATGTGAAACAAATACAAAAATTGCAAAAAAATCAGTGGCGCACATTTTTTCTGTCAAAAATATTGGTTACAGTGCCTTCCGGGATGCCACTGGACATGATAATTTTGATATATTTAGGGTTAAATTAGCCCTTTACGACCTTGAATAACACTGCCAAATCTCAATAAAATCGGTTGAAGGGTTATTGAGATATTTACGAAAAAAAAACGATTTCTTTTAAAAATTTTGACACCCTGTATCTTGAAAACGAAGCATTACCGGACCTATGTTTACATGAACTTTTCGTCTTAGAATCACTCCTTCAAGTTTGGCCACGTACTTAGATAACACCCTGTATATATCGGTCAGACACAGGTCGTACGTTTAATCAGCGCATTCATGAACATAAGATGAATTTTATGAAAACGAAAACAAATTCAACATACGCCAACCATATATTAGAAGAAAACCATAGTTTTGATGATAATTTTGAAATTCTGCACGTAGAAAATAAAGGACTGAAACTAAATCATTTTGAATCATTAGAAATCAACAAACTCAAAAATTTTGACATTTTACTTGATAATCAATTAGACCTTAATAGTTCACCACTGTTGAATTTGTTTTCTTAGTAAGTAATAATATGTATTTGATATCAACTCTTTCAAGTTAATCCGGTATACCGTAATTTAATGTAGATATTGTGCCTAATTTCCGAAAATGGAGGTTTATCGTACCTGTCCACAGGTAACTAATCCTTCAGGTTGGGAAGGTAAGATATATAAAAGTTAAGCAAGCCAACGTTAGTTTAGTTCATTGTACCAGTATATATCACCTGACGAAGCTACTGTGTTAGCGAAACATGTCATGTAATAAATTTTGTGGAAATCTTATCGTTTGTGAAGTTTTTACATTTGAAAAATACCACAATCAATGTCATAAAGCATCCAATGATAATACAACCGATTGAAATATGACCTTGTTCTTCCACATGGCCTTGAAGAGTCCTGAAAACTGACTCCTATAAACGAAAGTAACCTAGGAATGTATTATGTGTACTACTTATATAGTTGAAATCATGCGAAATGAGTTCTGCCGATAGATCTTTATCTACAGAAAGTAACAGAAGTTTCACTAATTCGGATACTATATACGCACGAAGTTATTCTCATATTCAATTCCCTATTCCATCAGGATTTGAAAATGTTTTATATTTTGAAATCAATAACAAAATCGTCTTCCAGTATTCGAATCAGTTTCACATTCAACACCATGATATATTCTTGGAATTTCAAATGTTGAAATAAAAAAACCGTTGAATATTTAGGGGTAAAACCCAAATTTTTCATTGAAGTTGATCTCATATCCTGAAAGTGATTGGAAAACGTGAGTTTTTGATCAAACTGAACCCCTAGATCCATTGATTCCGTGATCCGCGTTAAACTTTCACCATCTAGTATATAGTTGAATGTTACTGGTAGGATTTTACGAGTGAATATCATGATTTTACATTTATTTGTATTCAAGTACAATTCATTACACTTACACCAATTAGTCAACGAATTTAAGTTTGGTGGGTTTTGCAGTGTAGTTCTGAAATCAATATCGTTGAGGACCATCACAGGAATCCATTGCCGTATCTAACTAATTTTTCACCAAAAATGGACTTGTCGGGATTTGAAACTAGCTGATTCATATATAATTTGCCAAAATCAAGATAACGTCCTGTATTTCAGTTATAAAAGAAGGTAGACATATCAATGTGTGTCCTACATCGGCAGGTGTCGTACATACATTTGAATCTGAAACGTCCTGTATATCTGAAATCGGAAGAAAGAGCTCTACCGATTAAAAAAATTGCAGTTTACGTAAAATGGTTAGGTTTCAAGTGAAAACAGGTTCATTTTATATTATTTTTATTGGTCAAAAAATATGTTCTCATTCCTTTTTAGCCTTGGGCTTCTTAGCAGGTAATGGTTTTTGTGACCTCAATACAGCACTAGCTCTACGGAGGGCAGCCTTGGTAAGGTCTGTGCGGTATCTATTGCAGTTCAGCAGACGCTTCAACTTGTACAGAGATCTTCTGGGACCAGATTTCATTGTTCTCTTCACACTAGCTTGCTTAGGTTTATTCTAAAAAAAAAAAAAAAAATTGAATGTGATACCGTAACAAACATCTGATCAAGTATCAAGCCGGACGACCTGCGGCGCACTGTGCAACTACAGGCACGCTGCAGGCCACAACCCAATAAACAAAGAGGTGGCGCTGAGCAACCCTCCAATCTAAGGTGTAACGCGAACCGTGCCAATGGATGCATGGCGGTGGGAGAGCACCGTCTCGAACGGAGCCTCGAGGATACCTGGCGACCTCCTCGAGTACCAGCCGTGCCACGCCATGCGACTTCCAATTCCCTAGCCACTCGTGGAAACAAAATGAATGAGAATGAAAAAGAAACAGCTAGATCGCGGGATGTCACCGCAACTCAGGACGCTCTTGAGCGTCCTGGCACCTCTTAAACACCCGAGTTCACCTCGGCAGACAGAGGGAAAAGCACCAGAAAGAGAAAGAACTAGCGGAGCAGGCATCCGACAAGGGCTCTGCCTGTAGGAAACCCTCCGCAAAAAACCGGCAGAAGCAAATGCAGCTGCCACCTCCAGGCAAGCTCGGAGGTATCGACGATACGCTGAGAAGGGGTCACAGCGGGGCAGGAGTACGATGGTACCTTCGTTTCCTCGAACAGGGCCTGACACCTGAGGAAGCAAGAAGAAGTCTTCGAGAGGAAAAAACCTCAAGATCAACCACCTCAACAAACGGAGAAAAGGGGGCCTAAAACGCAAACGCCTCAACGTCCGAACGTTAAGAGGAAAACTGAAGCGGGAAGTAGCACCGCTACTGCTTAGCAAACCGGGCAAGCCACCAGCTATGCTGAGGCCGGTAGTATGATAAAAATGGCAATTCTTCCAAAAAACTATCCCGAGGAGACGCTGATTGCTGAGCAGCTTACATCACTAGAAGACGCCATAGTACAGGAGATGATACATGGCGCGGAATGCAAACTCCAGTTCAGGGGAATTCACTTCCGCCCCAGTATGCTCGTGGTAGACTGCGTCAACCAAGAAACGGCGGACTGGCTGATGGCAAAGGACCCAGTCTGAGCACACGGGAAGGTTTGGAGCTGATGGTGTGCCTGAGAGACGACAACCCAAGGGCACACACCATCACTGGGTTCTTCCCCAGGAGCACGGACTTCGAACCGGAGAAGTTGCTAACCCTAGTGAGCACACAAAATATGGAAGTTCACACCCAGCTGTGGAAAATACTAGGGAACAAGAAGGAGGGCAATGGACAGTTGTCCAATTTCGGAATTGACGATGAGTCCTGCGAGGCCATGAGGAACACGGAGTACACCATAGTCTACAAGTTCGGGAAAATCCCCGTTCATTGCCTCCGCAAGGACTCGAGTGAGAAGAAGGTAATAGAGGAGGCGTGCAAGACACCAGCCTCAGCTGCCGCAGAAATTACTGTGGCCAGCGAAGCCGAATCGACTGGGAGTATGAACCAGGACACCACGGTTACTCCCAGGGAAGAAGTGCTAATGCTGCTGGATGATGAGGAGGCAAGCACTCCGGCTAACTAGCAGCAATGGCTAATACAGTCTCAGTAAGGTTTGCCCAGGTAAAAAATCACCACGCTAAGGGGGCATCAGCCACCTTATCGAGGGTGTTCGCCGGGACACACTTGAGCGTTGGGTCAACAGAGGGCAGATTAGAGGACTGCCGAATAAAGAAGCTTGCATATTGATAAGAAATAATATCAATTATGTTTGTCTTCTAGGATTCATGACGAGGGACTTAGAACCTGTCCGGGCCAAGATCCGCACAGGGCAATCGCACCTCCCACACACCAACTAGTAATACCTTCCAGATAATTCGCTGGAGATGGGCAACATCACCAGAAGAAGTACAGAAGCTATCCGACTATTGCAGTAGGAGCAATCAACCCCTCCTGCTGGGCTGTGACGCCAATGCTTACAATACCATCTGAGGCAGCACGGATACCAATACAAGAGGTGAGCAACTGCTAGAATTCTTACTCGCGGCTAACTTGAACGTACTCAATGGGGGGGGGGGGGGGGGGTGACTGGCCGGAAACGGAGTCACTTGCCTTGGCTATGCTGACGACATAGTCATTATGGTCCAGGACAAATTCGAAGGAACTCTCTGCGATCTCATAGAAAGGGCCTCTCGGTGGGGTCGAGTATCAACTCATCGAAAACCATAGTGGTAACTTTCACCAAAAGAACAAAACAACAGCACTTGAGGGCTGCCCGTCTCGACGGAGTAGAACCACCATTCTGCGGCCTTGGAAATTCCCATTTCCAAGAAGAAGTTAATAGCTGAAGAAGCAATGAGAGTAACACACTGGCGAAGACTTCCAGGACTGCGGCAGGCCAAAGATCTCCTCGGCAATTTCAACCGAGCAAGATTGAAGACACTGATCAACCTCAACAAAATTAGTCTCAAAGCAATAACGGGAATTCTAACGGGGCATTGTAGCCTCAAAGAACATCTAAGGAAGCTAGACTTGGAGGAAGACAGCACATGCAGATTCTGCAGGGCACATCCAGGAACAACCTACGACATCTTGACGGGGTATAACGTACACCACAAAAGATCGAATATACTGGATGCATACCAGCTGACCGAGGAAGAAATACCACAAACAGATCCCCTCAAAATCCTAAAGAATTGAAGCTTGAGGAGCTGCAACAAACCTTTCTCTGATTTTTTTGAATTCGCATTCTCTAAGAAATTATTACAAGGAAACACTTTTTTCATACTTCGGCTCTTTCGACAGCGACTGTCAATTTTTTCATTTCTTAAAATAAGTCGAAAAAAAGAAAAAAAAATTGGTTAAGATTAACTTGTCTCAGATATTGACAATTTCACTGTGCTTTGAAAAACATTGTCCTCAACCAGTAAACATAGAACTATCTCTGGCCTATCGTGCGCCGTGGTGCAAAGATTTGTGTGGCGCTCTTGAACTTTAAAATACATATGTAGGGTGGGACACGGTCGATGGTATCTTGGACATTCACGGAGAACGGGAAATGCGTTCATTCTGAAAATTTGGTTACTCAAGTAGTTGCTCTTGGTCTACCGACCTGAAATATTTTCAGCAATGCAGCGTTGCCGCTTATGTATTTCATTGCATTTTTAGATTCTCCCTGAAGAGCTGATTTCATCAATGCATCACACTTGGAGTCTAGTGGGGATGATTACAGAAATATAGGGAACACCCTTTGGAATATCATAGTTGCTACTACTTTCTGGTATAAGCGGCAACGCTGCATTGCTGAAAATATTTTGATATTTTGCAGACTTCAATCGTATCATAGGGCGCAGGAAAATAATTTCGATTATACAGGGTGCCCCAAAAAAGTGTAACGTCATGATGATATATTTTTTTAAATAGCATGCCATATATTTTGTTGCACATTCTAGTGGTTACATACATACTCCTGGAATTCAATTGAAATGGGTTCAGTGATATTCACGTAAAAAAAATATATCAATACACCACTGGTCAAAAACATTTATAACAAATAAGAGAGTGCCTGTTCAATAGAATCATAAGAGATACATATCAAATAAGACCTTAGACGATCGCTTACCGAGTTTGATTGACACGAATCATCACATGGTGTTTAAAATTTAGTGGCAAACTTTTCGAATTTCAAAGCAGTATATGTTTCTTATTTCAAATTGGAGCCCCTGTATATTTTTATGTCATTCGATGCGTGAATAAAAAACACTTTTATCTTGTTACAACCCCATCGAAATTCTCCTCGTATCAAAAGTTATTTGCCGAAAACTCGTTTCATCAACATTTGAATGAATACAAAACGAAAGTGGCTTTGAGAAGTAAATTATTGTCATAAAGTACAACCAAGAAGAACTCGTAGATATGATTTTATAATTAGGAGACTGTGAAAAAAACACTTTTTGGCAAGTCGAGTTTATGCACAACGTTATTCGAAACGACGTCATCCAGACAAAAGGAGCCTGCAGAACTCATTGGATAGGATTGTAAGAACCGGAAATGGAAAATATACAAAATCAGTTAGAGATAGACGATAGTAAATCCAGAGTTGAGGAAAAAGCAAATTTTCATAGTTCAAGTTTGATTGGGTATGGAAGTTTTGAAGAGGAATATTCTCAGATATACACTGCTCCAAGAAATTAACGCACCACCAAAAGGCAGCCAAAAGTTTAGGAAACATTTTCAAAAGAACTTGTCCGATTTGGACGTTTTTAATTTTGAATGGCAGGTTATTTCCTTCTGAACATTGGTCTGCAAACTGTATTCTCATGAGAACCTTTTTTATGAATACAGGGTGAAGCAATTATAGCGTGTTTTATTTTTATGAAATTTGTAATACCCTATGGAGCATAAGTTAGGTTATCAAGTTGAAATCGAAAAATCGAAAGTACACTTCAGCCTTATCTTTTTTCAACTTTGCATTTTTGGATTCACTCCATTATATTTCCTGTCGACGGAGCATATTTAAAAAAAAAAATTGCGCAAAAGTCAACTTTTCATACATCATTGTATTCAGAAAACAAATCTCAATCAAAAAAAGTTTAAAAAAACATACAATGCAATTTGAAAAAAAGTCGACAATCGATGTCGTTTGATATTGATTATAATATGGAAATAAATTGTTAGTGTCACCATGCTGATGAATTATTTCATTTGCTTTTTTGATTTTCGAAATCGGATAGTTAATAGCAGTGCTATGGCTTGGGGCATTTTTTGTCAGTCAGCCTGTATGGAATACATTACATAATATTGAAGAGAAACTTATGTGGCTCAATAGTTTCTCGTATTTTATTGCATCCGAGATAGTGCTAGCGGTACACATTATGTTTCAAGAAAAAACCGCATTTGATGTTTGAAGCAAGCCACTAGGCACAGTTGTTGTTAGGGCCCTTTCAAACGATTTTGCCCGTAGTGATTTTTGATTGGTCCCTTAGGAGGGGTGTTCTGGAGGGTGGGTGGTAAAATACCCCCAAATCGAATAATTGCTAAAATAGATGGATATTGACAATCGTGGGGTCGATTTCGGTTAATTTTTAGTCGCTGAGATCAAAGTTCAGGTCATCCGAACAGTAATTTCTCATATCTTGAGACAAAAATCAGATTAGAAACCAAATCTTTGAAGAATGATAAACCTGAGTACAACAGCTATAGAGTTGATTTCTACAAAATCGATGCCACTGAATCGAAAAATGAAAAATTGAAACCCATACCCTCCAGAAATTTTTTTTCGAATATATCAAGTCGTTTCCGACTAATTCGGTATCGCTGAGCACGAACATCGGTTCATTTTAGGGTAATTTTTTTTCCCAAGGGAAAACGGCAGTGGGTATATCGCATCACAAGTTCAAACACAGAAAAGAGAGAGAGAGAGAAAGGAGAAGAGCTCAATCTGCTTCATTGTTAAAAACACTGAAATCTGAGCAGTTCTACCCAAGACTTTTCATTGCGTGCACTGCCCGAAATCTGGACTGGAACCGCGTGGACATTGTCTGGGACATGTATTCTACAAGCAATCTGAAAGGTGTCACTCGGGAAAGTCGAGGAGTAGGAATTCGGCGCCAGGATCTTTCCACTAAGAGTAAGCTTCACATGACATATTTTTGTTAAATAACCTCGAAAATGGTTCATTCAGAAATGAACAAGTTGTTTGCATTCCTTTCCAATGAACTCCTGTTACTTCTTCAAGATATGCAATTATGCATATTGTCACCAACATTGGATCGGCAGTCGAATCTTCAATGCCTCTGGGCTCTGTTCTACCAGACATTCCTTCTGAAGGCTTGGAGGGAGCTGATGGGCAACTCATTCTTCATGCAATGGATATAGTGTACAGTGGTGCACCAAGGATTGTTATCCGGAGTAGTGACACGGGCGTGCTAGTGCTGGCAAATTCTTTTTTCTATGAGTTTCACAGGAAAGGACTCTGGGTGTTGTTCGGTAATGGGAGAGCTCGTCGATACGTGAAGGCACACGATGTTGCATCTGTTTTAGGCGAAAGCAAAGCAGTAGCCCTCCGCTTCTTCCACTGCTTGACAGGGTGTGACACAGTAAGCCACTTTTCTACAAGAGGAAAGCGTAATGCAGTCTCGGCCTGGACGAAAGAAGATTATGAGAGTTTCTTCTTGCTGAGCCATCCAATAAGTCTGCCACTGTCAGATGACGTACTTTGTGGTGTCGAGAAGTTCGTTATTCGGATGTACGGCGTCAAAGATCAGCGAATTCATGTTCGCCACCTTGAACTGTCCAGTACAGGTCATTTCCTCTTCCAGGAGCGCTTTGATAAAGCACATTCATCATGCCGCTTACCAGGCTGGACAGGTATGAGGAAGAGCAGCCGCCGGTAGCAAACCGCCCTCGCCGGAATCTTGGTGCTGGACACACTCCAGAATGGTCAGTGGACTCCGGTATGGACCGATGAGTCTGCTGTTTGGCCTGAATGCAGGGCACTGAACAGGTGTGGCTGCGGCTCCAACTGCGCCACCTTCAGGTGCAAGTGCCGCCGACTGGGCCTGCCGTGCACCCCTGCTTGCAAGGTGTGTAAAGGAACTTGCGTCAACCAGAGGTAAGTTCGTAGAATAGTGTTACATTTATGTCATAAATGAAGATGCCCCAAACTATCTTGTACTTCTTTATATTTTTCAGTGGAACCCTGCGTGAAGAAACCCTGTCTGCAGAAGCTCTGACCGAAGGGTCCGAGGAGGGCGTGGACGTTGATCTGTGAATATGATAACCGCATTTCTGATTTTTATGAAACTACCTCTTTTTAGTGTGTTCATATCTAGTGTTTTTATGTTCCTTGCGCCTTTCAGAAAATTAAACATTAAAATCGTGCTCAGAGATACCGAATTACTCGGAAACGACCACAAACTCGATATAATCGGAAACAAAATTATTTGGATGATATCCACTACCTTCAGTTTTTACCTAAATTCAATTTTGTTTTCATTTTCAAAAAATTTGGTTGAAAAACTAATTTTTGTCTCAAAACATGAAAAATTACTGTTCGGATGACCAAAAATTAACCGAAATGGACCCCTCGACTATCAAAATCCGTCTATTTTTGCAATTTCACGATTTGGGGGATATTTTACTCCCAACCCTCCAAAAATCCCCCCCTGAGGTACCAATCGAAAATCACTACGGGCAAAATCGTTCAAAAGGGTCTCAACAACTACTGTTCCAAGTGGCTTGCTTCTAACATAAAATGCAGTATACTTTAGCATGCCGCTAACACCAAGATTGACAGCCCTTTGGAAGCTGGTTTTCTTGTTGCAATATCATGATTTGATATAATGAAAGCAAATTAATTTACCCTAAGACATTTGCCAATCATTGCGTGTTTGTATACAGGGTGTACGGTAGTCCCTAGTAAGAAGGGGAACCATGAATCGTACTGCGTACTAGCTGGTGATAAACAAGATTATAATCTATCAGAAAACCATAACTTGACCTCAGTAAAAATCTTAGGGTTTTCGAGATATTATAAATTTTATATTGAAAAATTGAATTCCTATTTTCATGTTTCAAGCACCTGGGGAGATGAAGATTACTAAATCGTAGTTGTAACAATCGCAGAAGACTGTCGATTGCAGTCATTTATGATCTACAAAAAAAATTGTCCTCCGCTTCGAATCCTTCATTATATTCTATCATGAAACTTCGTTGGAAGTTATTTTTAGATCGTTAAATACCTTTATCGAAAATTTGTCTTCTGCGATTGTTACAACTATTCAGTAATATTTAGCTTTTTATGAGCTGTAGGCCTGTTCGTTTGTGTTTGCTCAACCTGCAAAACTTGATTTTTTTCAAGGACTTTCTCTGTTTTATCATGCCATGAACAGAGACAACCATGAAAAAAAAATCAACTAGCACGTTCAGCGATACAAAAGAACAGACCAATATCTCGAGAACCGAGTCGAAAACCATGGGGTTTCCAATGGGGTCAAGTTATGGTTATGAACTTTTTTTGAATTGACTCGGCCGTTACTTGAAGGAAATCCATAGTGGATGTAGAAACTTCAATTACAGGACATCTTTCGCTTTCACCTGAAGAAGCTACTGAGTTAGCGAAACATGTCGTGTAATTCAGAATTTTGTGGAATTCTTATCGTTTGTGGTTTTTATATGGTTATGAACTTGTTTATCACCAGCTAAAGTATGAACCATGGTTTACCGGCCTTCCTTTACAAATATGTAACAAACCATGGTTTACCGGCCTTCCTTTACAAATATGTAACAAAGCATTCGTCAATCATTGTCAGTATCAGAATGCTCAAATTCACAGAGCAAAAGAAACATAGTCACAGAGACTGTTTTGGCAATTATACTAAGAAATTCGTATGTGAATGGAATAGAAAATAAACGCAGATGAATGACTGTATGTACATGAATGCAACACGACATTCTTCAATCAATGCTAGTAGAAGACATAGACCAATAATAATTCCTCAATATGATTCAACTTGCTTTCTTCGGAGTCGTTGAATTCATTGAAATATATCTGGATTCGAATTTCCTGTTAAATCTATGAATTTTGACAATTTTGTTTCTTTTGCTTTTGTGCAGTCTACCTTCCCATGCAGTCACTAAAAGTTCTTGACTTTCTAATTCTGAAGTTGGAGTTGTCCTGTTAATCTTCCACACAAATCTTTTCTGTACTTGACACAAATGAATGCAATGAAGATATTATGTAGAAATTTGGAGAACCACGTAGTGCTGGATTTTGTGTTTATCTTTGAATTTGTGCTACTAGTATGAATCTTCTTGCATACTACTGAGTAAACTAATCATATACGACAGCAGCTATGAATAATTGCATGTTGATTTGTAACTGTAAACTATTGAAAACATCAAAACTGAAATTCGACAACCCCTAATTGGGTGAGTTATAAAAATAAGAAAGTGTTTCTGTTCTGATACCAAAAGAGACGAGGACGAACTATTTGCACAAATCTAATGGAATCAATCATTTTTACTTTTTCATTTCCTCTAAATTGTTCTTGGTTTCACACAATTTTCCAGATATGCATCCATTGTTGAATGAAACCGTGCCTTTGGAAAATACTTCATCAAGTCAACAAATTCACACGCCGTTTTCGGATAAACCGGATAATGGATAAAGTTGTATATCTACTGTAAAAAATGTAATATCTCATATTCATTTCATGAGTCACTACTCTATGACACCTGGTATATTCTATCAGAAATAACATACTTGTTTGCTGGATTTTTTGTAGACTACTGTGAAGCCTTTCTTGTCAGGAGAATCTACAATCCCAACAGATTTTTTATGAATTAGTCCATTGTATCTGTAAGAGTTCAGGTTGGTCAAGTTGTTAGGTTCCTGTAACAAAAATAATATATTATAATGAATATCAAAGTTAATATCTTGAGTATTTCATATTCAAGTGAATCTCCTACTCAAACGTGAACTCATTGAGTTTCCCTTCCAAACCTTTTTCAAAACACTATACAGGGCTTTCATTTCAAAACTTACCACCCTGCATATCCTCTGATCTACGAAGATTACAATTTTCGAAAAAAACAGGTCGATTTAGATATCGGGGGGGGGAAGTAAAATAACAGTATCAATTGAATGCTATGTTCATCCCTTTCACCACCAGACACCCCTACTTTGAGAAACAAAAAAATGAGGGTCTATCAATGATAAAATTAACCAGGTGAAAAAAAATTCAATTCGTATACAGGGTGAGTCATGAGGTACTGTACATACTCCAACCACAAACAGAGGCCCCTGAGGGGAATATGGCCATCTGGAGTGTTTCTTCCTCTTGTACAATAATAAACAAGAGTGATTTATAGGATTGAGCGAAAAAATATTTTTTTCACAACTTTTCAACAGCTTCTTAGGTTCATTTCATTTTTTTCATGAAACATTATGCACTCCAACATCAATAGACTAACGTATACAGAATTGAAAAAAATCCAGGACTGTACTTGTGAAATATTGCCAGCTATCAAAGAGCTCATCCTGTATATGGCTTGTGAACAATGACATCTTTTCTGTCAATTAGTACAAAATGTGTTGGTGCTTCATTCAGCTGAGAATGGTTCCTTTCAAAACAAACTAGAATGATTCATTTTGACGAATCATGTCTAAGTAATGCAATTTTTCAGAGTGGTATTCAAAGCTATTGCTCAAAATGTGCTCCAATATTCTTTAGACAATAGTACAGCTTTTTCGAATTCTTCACGAACTTTTTCAAACGTTTCCCGATTAATTTGTCTGCATTCTGAAATGATTCTTCTTTTGAGTTAATCAATATCTTCTGGTATGGTCTTAAAAACCATTGCTTCCAAGAGACCCCACAGAAAATAGTCAAGAGGTGTCAAATCTGGAGATCTTGCTGGCCATTCTATGGCACCTCTACTGCCAATCCACTGCCTAGGAAATCGTTGACTAAACCATTCTCTCACCTCTAGAAGAAAATGCGGTGGAGCTCCATCCTGCTGAAAGAACAGGTTATTTTCGTCCAGCAACATATTATCAAGATCATCGATTTGCCTCTTTAAAGATTGTGTGATGAGGGGATCAATTGTATTTTCCAATAAATCCAGGTACAATTGTTCATTAAAATTGTCTTTCATGAACAGTGGTCCAATTATCTCATTTTCTAGAATACCAGCCCACACATTGATTTTCTCAGGAAACTGAGTATGGTCCTTTCGAAATATGTGTGGATTTTCATTGTCCCAGAATCTACAATTATATTTATTAACAAACCGTTCAAATAAAACGTTGATTCATTACTGAGAGAGATGGGCTTAAGGAAACTGACATCTTGTTGAATCTTCCCAGACATTATCTCACAAAATTCGATTCTGCGGTCATGATCGTCTTCTGTAAGTTGATGGTAAATTTGAATTGTATATGGGAAGAATTTATTCACTTTCAGCACTCAATGTATGGAACCAACCAAAATATTTGTAGTTTTCGACACTTTGTGGCCCAACACTTCGATCTGAGCAGCTTCATCAAGAACTCTTGGATGGCTAGTTTTTTTTATTGCAAACGGATCCCGTTTCATTAAATTTTACACTATACCTTTTCAACTTCAATTTCGGAATCGGTAAATTATATTTCGGAAAGAGTAATCCCGATTTCAGAATTAGTTAGTTCGATTTCAGAAATGGTTAACTCAATTTCAGAATCGGTGAGATGAATTTCAGAAAATGTCCATTCAATTTCAGAAATGGTGAGTTGTATTTCAGAATTGGTAGTTTCAATTTCAGATAATGAATCCTTATATCTGTTTGAAATGTTTTCAATTGCAAAAGAGAGAAGATTGTTTACAGTGGATGAAACGGCGTGTTTGAGAGCGTATATAAGTTCGAAATGGGCATCCTGCAGATACCATATTGGTAGTTCTGGATAATGCACCTGCACATTAAGAATAGAAGAAATATGCATGGAGAAAGAGTTTCAAGATGTTATATTTTGCAGATTGGCACCTTACACCCCTAAGTTGAATCCGATTGAAGATATATGGGTGTCATCAAGTCAGAAGTGAAGAGCATTTTGCAAGAGCATCGCCAAAGGGTCATAGCCGGGGATCCAAACAGATTGTTCAGCCAGATAGAATTCAGACTGCGATGTCTTGAAGAATGTGCAGAACATTCAATGCGAATGATAACACCTCAAATGTGTTGGCATTCTTATAATCATGTGCAACGCCACTATCCTTCTGCGATTCGGATAGAATAAGACATGTCTGTGGATTGAGTTGAGATTATAATTATGTTATTGAATTGTTTTTGAAAAGTTAAATATTGTGAATATATAGTTTGTTGATTTCACATGCGATTGAAAACATTTCAAATAAATCATATAAGGATTTGTTTTCTCACCGATTCTGAAATTGAGTTTATCATTTCTGAAATCGAACTAACCAATTCTGAAATCGAGATTACTTTTTCCGAAATATAACTTACCGATTCCGAAATTGAAGTTGAAAAGGTATAGAGCCACGATGGATTGGTGACTAATATTCTTGTCCTGATGTCTTTCATTAAAAACTCTAGACGTTCTTCTAGCACAGCGATTTTCAGCTCCATAAATAAATATAATTTCTATTCTTTCTTGTAATGAATAAACCATTTTGAAGTATCTAATGGTACAAGATATCGGTACTAATAATAATTCAGCAGTATCTTACTGCCGAATATTCCTGATAGAGGCAGAAAGTTAAACTCAAATGTAACAGAAAGTACACCAAATATTTTTTTAATGAATTTTATAAAAAGTTTACCTATACACCATTGGCGTACTCCATCACAATTTATCTCATTGCTTTCGATGATACCCTATAGGTGAATTGACAAATTATTCAGCAGGAACAGTGGAATTTAGAAATTAGTTACTGACCTCTTTCACGACAAGTACGGTCCTGAATTTCTTCAATTTTCCATACTCCAGTCTATAGGAACGAGTACGTATAATGTTTCAACAAAAATTAAATAATTCAAAGAAATTGTTGGAGAGTTATGGATCACTCTGTATATTATTGTAGAAGAGGAGAAAACATTAAGGATGGCCATGCGGTATTCCCCATAGGGGCATCTGTTCGTGGTAGGAGTATGTTCAGTTCCTCGTGACCCACCCTGTATGCAAAATAATTTATTTTTCACCTGGGTGATTTGATTATTGATAGACCTTCAATTTTATTCATCTCAAAGTAGGGGGTGCCATTTGAGGTTTCAAATTAGGGGTGAAGGGGATGAACATAAAATTCTATTGATACTGGCATTTTACTTCCCCCTTGAACTGTTTTTTTCCGAAAACTGTCATTTTCGCAGATCAAAAGATATGCAGGGTGGTAAGTTTTGAAATGAAAGCCCTGTATATGGAAAATAAAACATTTCATAGGAATAAAGGTATCAACACAGTATGCATAAATTTCTTGAAATTTCAAACTTGTGGTTTATTCCTTACCTACGCTGCTGTAATGAAAGAGATAATCAAATGTGACTTGAATCAACAACGTTTTCATGAGAAAGCTTCACTAAGTTAATCAATTTATTCATAATCAAAGTATGCAGTGCTGATCTGTAATGCCCTCTTTTATTTTTTGAACGGGTCAATTGAAAACATTAAAACGGGTCGACTGAAAAAATTGAAACTTGGGATAAGAAAATTAATGCATGATTACTATATTTTGGAGTAAAATTTGACAGATGAGACCTTCAAGATGGCGACTAGACGCCATAGGGTTGTGAAGTATTCGTCAGGAGTTTCGAAAGGATGTACCACAAGACACCCCTTTTCATTTTTTTTCCGAGATGGCGCCCAGTCATAATCTTGAAATTTTCGTCAGTCAATTTTACTCCAAAATATAATTATCATGCACCACTTTCATTATCATTAGTTTCAATTTTTTCAGTTTACCCGTTCAAAAAATAAAACGTAGGGGGGGGGGGGATTTAAGACAAGCACTATATTATATAAAACAAACACTAGTATGAATAAAATCCTCTAACATGTGTCGTTAGGGACCTAAATCAATTTTTGCACCACTTCCCACGCTTTTTTATGTAAATAATGAGTCTATGCATTATTTCAACTTGTTGAATTTCAGAGCTCATTTCGAACATACCGTCATGGCCGCCATTTGGCGATATGTCGAATAAATGGTGACGTCAGTTTTTATGCCATTTCGTTCTAGGTCAGATAATCTTTCATTCCCACTCATGGAGCAAGGTTGCCAAGTCACCAATTATAATCAAGTCATCAAAAGAAGAGCCCTGTCCTTGACTTTTTCGACGTTTCCTTGATAAACTTTGATATTTACATCACATTGATTTAAAAAAAAATTAATCATGTTAAGTTCAAAATAAAGTGTGAAAAATGTTTATGCTATACGAATATTGCATAAAGCTATAATCTGTATCTCTTGAAATTCATAAAAATACAGTGTGAAAAATTTGAATGCTACAAAGTTCAAACTTCAAGTTCAACCTTCAAGTCAACCTTCAAGTTCAACCTCCGAGTTGAACCTTTAAATAAAACCTTCAATATCAACCTTCCAAGTTCAACTTCAAGTTGAAACTTCAAGTTCAACCTTCAAGTGCAACCTTCATGTTCAACCTTCGAGTTCAACCTTCAAGTTCAACCTTCAAGTTCAATTTACAAGTTCAACCTCCAAGTTCATCCTTTGAGTTCATACTTTGAATTCAACCTTTAAGTTCAAACTTCAAGTTCAAACTCCGAGTTCAAACTTCAAGTTCAACCTCCAAGTTCAACCTCCGAGTTCAACCTTCAAGTTCAACCTTCAAGTTCAACCTTCAAGTTCAACCTTCGAGTTAAACCTCCCAGTACTACCTTTT